TTTCCTTCCAAAAGTTTGTAAAGGTTTACCTCCAAGTTTGGTGCAACCTTTCTAATGTTTCACTTTCCTGCAATTAATGCAACCCAGAAATTGGCAAATAAGTTGAGAAATCAATTTGATTTCAGTTGGTACAGTCATGTCAGGGGAAGCAAAGACATGAATTTGGGTAAGAAGGAACTGGTTGTCTGAATCAGAAAAAGAGTGAAAAGGATCATGGGAAGAGACACAATAACATAGTTGGAAGACACCTTGGAGATCCCTGCTGAAGTGGGAGATCTTATACCACTTCAGACAAATGGCTGTCCAATCTCTTCTTAAAATCCTCCTGTGTTGGACTTCCGGTTTGAAAGGCTTCGGCAACAGACAGAAATCCGTGATCGTGCGCGGTTTCTGTCTGGGCTCGCTGCTGGAGCGCCCTAAGCCAGCTGGTTTCGGGGCTAAGCCACCCCGTAGAGGTGGTGAAGAGGGGGGAGACCACCAACAGCCGCATCTCTCCTCCTCAGCTGGCCATTACTCCCTTTCCCAAAGGTGGTAGTAGTGGTGGTCGGAAATGGCCACCAAAAAGAACTTGACCAGAAAAGAATGTGCAGGGGGAAGATAAAAAGTGAAAGTTTTGGCTGACCAGGTTAAATTGTAAAAGCAACAACCAAGGTACCCTGGAATTGAAACTTACAAAAAATAACATTGCTCCCAAAGAAGAGTCAGAAGCAGCAAAAAAAAGTGAAAAGGGAAAGGTTTGGCTTTTTTTTTCTTCTCTCTCCTTCCCTATACTGACAACTAAGAGACTTAAATAAGAAATCAGAAAAATCTGCTTTGACATCAATAGGCAATTAAGCTGAAAATAAAGCAAAATGCCAAAGGGATAATAAAGATTTCTGGACATTAAAAACTTTCTTTTTCATAAGGAGGAAGGGAGAGAAAAAGAATAAGGGCAGGATCTGGAAGAGGGAAGAGACTGTCTGGAATTAAAAAGAATCTAAAGTAAAACTTCAACAAGACTTCTAAAAGATACATTTTAACTGAAACTTTGCAACTAAATAGTAACCCCTGGAAGAGAAAGTGAAAAAAAAAGAGCAAAAAAGAAACAGCTTGCGTGTATTTGGATTATTTAGTGATTTTTGGATTTTTGGTTATTATATTTGAATGACTAAAATCAATCGGGTGGTTGTTTAAAAATTTATGCAATGGCACCACTTCTGGATGAATTGAAAATGGAACTTAAAAAGTACAAAGAAGATGCACAAGAAGGGAAGGGTTCTTTTGGCTTTGTTTTTCAATTCTTAGAAATGGAGATTTGGAACTATGAGAAACAACAAGAAAAGACTGCAAAACAAGAAGACTGGGACAAAGAAGAAGCCATCTTTAATAAACAAGTAATTCTATGTGGGGAAGAAAAAGGAAAGGGGAGAAAGAGAATGGAGAATTTAAGACTTAAAAAAAACAACCAAAGAAAAGAAAAATAATTAAAAAAATAAGTATAATACTGGAAAGCAACAGAAAAGGGGAATACAGAAGAGAGAAATAGAGGTAAAGAGACAAGGGGGTAAAAAGAGGAGAGAGAAGAAGAGAGGGAAGAAGGAAAGGAAAAGAAGTTACAAAGGACCGGGGCAAGATATAGAGAAAGGACCTATTTAGAGATAATGGGTGAAAATCTAACTGAAAAAGGGATTCTGTAAAGGTACATAAGATTGTATTGTTATATTAGTAATAGAAATAACTTTAGAAAATTGGAAACAACGTATGATGAAAATGAGGGATAAAAAAGTTAGTGTAATTTAGTGAAATGTTTGTGAATAAAATAAGTGAAATAAAATAAATGAGAAAATAGAATTAGGAAGGAACGGGAACATTTTAATTAGTCAATGTTTTATAAAATATAAGTGGGGGGGAATTAACTATGGAAAGTTTATAATTGTTCCCATAGAAGTATGATATTTAATTGAAAAGTAATGTTAAAGATGTTAAGACTTTAATGAATATTAATATTAATGATAGAATTGAATTGGAATGGAATGTTGTTTTAATTATATTATACATTTATATTTTTTTTCTTTTTTTAAGAATACAGTGTGTATTTTAAGAATGTACCAGGCAGAATCTGAATGGAAGTTATGTATTATATTGAATGTTACAACTTTAGGGAAAAGATATAAAGGTGTCATACTCCAATCAGTAACTAACAGAGAAATTTTGTTTAATGAGAAAAGATAATAGATAATTGAAACAGGACAGACCAAAAATATAAATACAATGATTTGAATTGAGATAAATAAAATAAAACTGAGAAAATTAAAAGAGGGGAGAAGCTATGCAGAAAACGTAAAATAGTAATAAGATATGGAATAGAATATAAAAATGAGGATGAACCTGAATTTGTGTCTGTACAATGAAATGTAACCCGGGATTATGCTGCTTTCAAAAAAGATGTTTTATTTGTATTTTTTTTCTCTTTGTGAAAACTCAAATAAAATTTACAAAAAAAAAATAATCCTCCTGTGTTGGAGCACCAAATTCAGTTCTAGATTATTCTGTCATGTTTTTAAGAAGAGATTGAACAACACTGTGTCCGAAATAGAAAAATTTAGGGATGGAAAAATATTTGGATTACGTTTAATTTCATTTGCTATAATCTGAGGACAGAGTAAATTTTATCTTAATGTTTCTTCTCTCTCCTCCTCTTTTTTTGCCACTCTCATCACCCATCGTGTCATAATTTCTCTCTTTCATAAAATAGGTTGCTTCCAATGTCCTTTGTGGTGGTCTGGCACTTGAAATGAGACACAGGGAAAATGTCTGAGCAAATGCCAGCTCTGAGTGAACTCAGGTAGCAGTATTTATTGAAGAGAAATCGAAAGTACAGAAAGCATATTCAGAAAACAATGACCTCAACAGGATATTACCTCAACAGGATGAGAACATACAGCCACGGAAAGTCCCATGAGAACATACAGTCACGGAAAGTCCCATGGGAAAGTCCCTGCTGTGTACCTTGAACTTTCACCCATTTCCCTGTTCCTTCTAAGCCCGCAGATCACAACAGGATGAGACACTCACTGCGAAGGTACTCCTACCCCCACCAAGAATGCCTGCATATCCCTAGATCTATGCAAAATGGCTGTACAAAGGACTTACAGAAAATGACCAATAAAATATATTACCACAGTCCTTTTAACTTGAAGGTCATGCAAAGGTTCTTTGAGGCTAGACCTGACTTTTCCACTGATGGTTGATAATTCACTCCTAAGGACACTGACAGAATAACAGAGTTGGAAGGGACCTTGGAGGTCTTCTAGTCCAATCCCCTGCTCAGGCAGAAAGCCCTATCTCATTTCAAACCAATGGCTGTCCAATCTCTTCTTTAAAAACCTCCAGTGTTGGAGCATTCACAAGTTCTGGAGGCAACTCTTTCCACTGATTGATTGTTCTAACTGTCAGGAAATTCCTCCTTAGTTCTAGGTTAAAACATACAATGAACAGTTGCAGGAATTGGGCAGGCTAGTCTAGTGAAGAGAAGGACCAAGTGAGACATGATAGCAATCTTCTGATATTTGAGGGGCTGCCACAGAGAGGAAGGGGTCAATCTGTTTTCCAAAGCACCCGAAGGCCAGACAAGGGATAGAAACTGAACAAGGAGAGATTCAACCTAGAAATAAGGAGAAATTTTCTGACAGTGACAGCAATCAACCAATGGAACAGAAAGGGAGAAACAGTGAGGTGGGGGATATAATGGAATTTTAATTGGCGGAGAGATCATATAACTGTGCATCTCAGCCTCACTTTCAGCACAATGATAACTGTCTAAAATTGCTGTCTAAGAACTGCGGTTTGTCTTCAATGAATTGCCAAAGTTCCTCTGTTAAGCTCTATTAAAGCATTTGCTCAACATTTTTTCATGCAATTCTGAGCCAAGGCATGTGAACTGAATTAGTCAACTTGAGACATCAAAATATACACAGGAAGAAGGCAGTTGGTAGATTGTATCTAAGTCAGAGCAAGCAGGGAGGGAAGGAGAAATTTTAATATCAAATTGAGGCCCAACAGTTGTCAGAAGTTGACCATGGTGGAGTGAGATCTGACAAATTCAATCTTTTAGTTCTGGCTTAGTGTTAGACCTGGCCCAACCTTGGTCCCTTAGGAAAGAACCACTCTCCACTCCATTTGTAGTGGAAAAGTTGTCTTTACTAAAAGCCAAGTGGTTACACTACTGCAAAGCCAGAACTAAAAGTCTGAGCATGAAAATCCCTCAGTTAACTTCCCCCTCCCCAAGCCACCCCTCTCGTTATCTCCCCATTGTCTAGTCACATTTAGAGAAGATATTTTGGTAATGGTCCCTGTTCCAGACTAGCAGGCTTGAAAGCCTGCAACTCTGATTGGCCCGTGAATAGCAGATCGTGATTGGTCACCACAGACTGATGCGATTGGCTAGTAAACAGGCTGCCACGATTGGCCCAGCCAAGAGCGGCAAACTCAAATTGCCTTCATTGGCTGCCTAGCCACAGCCAGCCCTATATAAGGGGCTGCTGCGGCTGGGATTCTTCACTCAGATCTGAAGTCACAAATAAAGAGCTGTTGTTGTTATCTGAGTCTTGCCTCTGTTCTTGAACCATCCTCCCAGATCTAACAGTCCCTGTCATCTTTGGTAGATGGATAGGTGCTGCATTCCATTCCCAGGACCACGGCCTTGAGGGGGATGGTCCTTGGCAATGGCATGACTATTGCTTTCAGTTTCTTGCTTGCAGATCTAATTTCCCCCTGGGTTCCCCTCCCCCATAACATGTGGCAGGCTGGCATCTAAACAAACCATAGAAGTGGGCCAAGGATGAGTCAGCTCTGACACTATGTCCCAAAGGTGGAAAATGGAGGATTTGCAGTCTGTGAAGCATTATACGATATCCTAACCTTAAAAAAATTAAAAATATCTAGTGGGTTAGTGGCAAAAGGTACTATCTGAAACACAATCATAGTTGCATTGGAGCTGCACCATTTCTTTAACGGGGAGCCAAATGAATGAATGCCACGTCTCTGTTTATCACTTATTCCTTTAAGTTCATTGACAGAGACAATGTGGACAGTATAATAATTTTGAACAGTGCACAATGTTTGTTTTGCATAACCAAAGATAGGTAAACATCTCTCTGAAGCTCTTTTGTCTTTGGAAATCCAACAAAATTAATTTGAAGCTGAGGTTTTAAGCTCCATCAAAGCTGAGGGGGAAAAGGAGTTTAATTATCTGTACATTTCAATCAGTCAACTTGAAGTATCAAAATACCCATGATCAGTGTATATGTGAATTAGAATTCTTTTTTTTTTTTGAATTAAAATAACTTTTTAAATGACTTTTTATTGAATTTTAGTTGATGGAGAGAACATATAATTTTGTGCATATCAACCTCACTTGGGGCACTAGGATCTTAAGCTCCATCAAAACTGAGGGGGAAGAAGGAACTTAATTATCTGTACATTTCAATCCATCAACTTGAAGTATCAAAATAACCACGAACAGTGTATAAGTGAATTAGAATTCTTTTTATGAATTAGAATTAGAATTCCTCTTTTTATTGGTCACATGTGATTGGACGCACAAGGAATGTTGGGGATGTAATGGAATTTTAGTTGATGGAGTATACAGAGCTTAAGAAAGAACCTTGGATACCCCACTGCATTCCTCCCTCCACATACGTGCAGTTCCATTGAGCTTGGAGAGACGGAAGGTCTGAGAATTAAAAGATTTGCTGAAATATTGCAGTAGTCTGGAAGGGAGGACACAAGGGTCTCCAGGTTTGGAGACCGACTCAACTGGTGTACCGCCAAATGATGACTAAAGTGAATCAGGAGGAAAATGGAGGATTTGCAGTCTGTGAAGCATTATATGATATCCTAACCTTAAAAAAATTAAAAATATCTAGTGGGTTAGTGGCAAAAGGCACTATCTGAAACACAATCATAGTTTATAGTATCAATCAAAATACCCACGATCAGTGTATATGTGAATTAGAATTCTTTTTATGAATTAGAATTAGATTTCCTCTTTTTATTGGCCAAGTGTGATTGGATGCACAAGGAATGTGGGGGATGTAATGGAATTTTAGTTGATGGAAAGAACATATAATTGTGTGCATCTCAACCTCACTTGGGGCACTAGGATAATTGTAAAGAATTGCTGTCCAAGATGTTCAAACTTTTTTCTTGATTTAACAGAGATAGCTTTTGTTTTAAGCTCCCTCAAACCTGTGGGGGAAGTAGGAATTTAACTATCTGTACATTTAATCTGGGGATGGAAACACCAGGTGTTTCACAATAAGAAAATTACATAGTAAAATTTCTTTTTTTCACCATTGACTTTAATTTTGTTAGGAAGGTCCCAGAGTTCAAGTCATCTGGATCTTGAACCTATCTTCTGGAGTGCTGGCTATTCCTGCCAGCCTAGTGTTGTCTGCAAATTTGATGAGTTCCCCTTCTATTCCTTCATGTAAGTCCAGGGGTGGTATTTGGCCCATTCAGACCTGTTCAGCAAAACATTTATGGACATTTTGAGTAGTTAAGAGAACCGACAAATACCACTATCACTAGGCCTGCCCCTGCCTTCCCGGTCAGCACTTACCCAGCCCACCCCGCTCGCTCACCCTGCCCCACTCAGTCACTCATCACCTCCCTGGCATAGCATACTGTGTGGCTCCTTGCATTAACCAAACAGTCTCTGCCCTATGGCTTGCCTGCCTTCCGACTCGGTGCCCGTGGCCCAACCGAGCACCCTTGATCTTCCTGCCTGAGTAAGTAAGCGTGTAAGTCACTCTAATCCCTCTGTCTCTTGCCTTTAGCATGTCTGGGTTGCCTCACCACAGCAGATGCATCCCACACAACACAGCAAATCTCCTTGGCTCACAGGCTAGGAGAATGCTCTTCCCATGGGTGGGAAGCCACATAGTTGTGCTGGCTAGGAAAGCAAATTCCCCTAGGATTTCTTTGCCTACCTGATTTCCATCTCCTTTGCATTTTTCACCCTTCATGTGCAGAGAAGCAATAGTTTGTTGAGGGAGGGGGGTAAAAAATCCACTCAATCAATTCCAACTTCTTGCAAAAGAAAAAGATCTCACAAACTTTAATTTCATTTGAAGAGTTTCTCTATTACATAGGTTAATAGATCTTAAAAGCGTAACTTCAATCCTTGACTAAAGGCAAAGTTTGCACACCTTAGGCAGCAATCTTTGAAAGATACTGTTGTTCTCAAAATGAGGATGAGACACAAAGAATTGCATGATGTATATCATATTTACATGAAGGTAACTATGATATAGTTGGAATAAACAGAAACTTGGTGGGATGAAACCCATGACTGAAATATACTGGTAGAAGCTTACAAACTATTAAAAAAAAACAAAAAAACAGAACCCTTAAAAGAGGAGGTGGAGTTGCACTGTATGTAAAGGACCACTATATTGCTACACAAATGCATGAAACCAAAGATGAAAACCACCTAGGATGCATATGGGTCAATATAAAAGAAAAAAAGAATGACATGGCCATAGGTGTATATTATAAACCACCCAATCAAGCAGAAAAATTAGATGTCCTTTTTGCCAGCCAACTAACAAACATATGCAGGAAACACACAACAATAGTAATGGGAGACTTCAATTATCCTGATATCAATTGGAAAACTAATTCTGCACCAAGTGAGAAATATTTTGATCCTTTGGGTTGACTGATTGAGTTAATAACCCTTTTTGCTAAGAACACTTGGTATATCTCCAAGTACAACGGGACTTGAGAGAGATGTGCACCTGTCTTTGCTTAGAAATGAGAATCAGGACATCACAACAAAGAAGTTTTATTTAAAGGAAAGCAAAATGAGATGTTGTGTTATAGACAAATGCTGCAAATCCCAAGGAAGCAGATGAGCTAATAGCAATAACAATAGCACATAGACTTATACACCGCTTTATAGGGCTTCACAGTCCTCTCTAAGTGGTTACTGTATTATTTATAATAATACAGGCCTGGAAGATTCTCCTTCTTCCCTGGTTCTCTAGGTTTTCTCACAGCATTAAGAAGTTGTTTTTCCCCTGGTGAAAGAATTTCCGAGACCCCCACTTCATTCTCCCACCTCCCTTTTGGTGTCTGACAAAAGACAATGACCCATTAGAAATGGTCAGTGTAGGGATCTCCGATGGGAAACCTGGGATTGCCCTGGAAAACAGTTTGATTACATTTTTTGAATGTTCTTGACTGACAACAGCAGCAACCCAAAGTGTTTGTGACATAAATCTTACTTCACATAGCTTGTGCTCATATTGACCCACTGTGTTCCTAGCGAATTTTACAGGTGGACTCTTGCACTGCTTGGGGTTAGGAAAAAAAACGTTACTCTGGCTTATCCATATCTCCAATATTCTTGATTGTGTAGATGAAGTTCTTGCTATTTCAGGCCACATTACAGTTGAATCTCATCTAAGAAGTTTGTAGAACCACAGGACGAAATTCAGAAGGAATAGATTTGTGGGTGGTGACTGAATAGAGTCCTGAGGAAATTCCTTACTTTTTTTCCGAGTAAAGCCACTTGATTCCACCCACCCTGGAACAGATCCTTATTCTTCCTTTGCATCTGCTTTTTATCCTTGTCTGGAAAAGTTTCCTTTTCCTCTGGATCTCTGCATTTTCTCACAGCCCTAAATAATCTGTTATACTTTGAAAAAGGATTCTCTGGTGCCCCCGATTGACCTTCTCACTTCCTCTTTCATGTTAGACAAAAACAATGTCCTGCTTACGGTTCTAAGAATCAGCATACTCTTGACCTATTGTTGAAAATCAATCAGAACCAAGGAACTGAGCTACTGTAGGGCACAATAAAAGCCAGGTTTGATCTGTGAAGATTCTTTTTTTATGAACACCTATCAAGGAGAAAGGGATTTTATGGGTGGCAAGACTATTCTGTCCCGGATTCTCACAGGTTTGAGGAATTTCTGGATTTAAAGTCATCAGTAAGGAGATCTTTTCTTTGCAGGAATTGTTAACTAATAACTCAAGGCATCCCTTGGAATCATCTGTCCTGCTGTTCCTGTTCATAGTTTTGTACCAGAAACCTTACTGCCGTGTTTGATCAACCCTCGATCTGTCTCCCTTGTTTATTCTGACTTTTGTATCTTGTGAATCCTTTAGTCCACAAGATAGTTTTGGAGAGAGCTACTCATGTGCTGATCTGCTCAAAGGAGGCCATGTTTCTTGAAGGAAGGCAGATCCACAGTAGCATCCTGAGAAGTTAGAAGATTCAGAGTAGTTGTCCACTTGGTTAACTGAAGTACAAATAAAAATAGGAAGGCGCTGAACTTGCAGAGAGATATTTTGTTTAATTTTGCATTATGTAAGGATTGTATAATCTTTTATAAATACAGGAAAAGATGCCAATTGTCCAGGTGCCCAAGTTTTGTATGCAGAATAGAAGTGTGTTCCTTGAAGTCGGGGAATGATTGGTTGATGCTTCACCTGTTTTGATCTGGCTTCTGTTTTGGTGTCAGGGGCAAAAAAGCCACACCCCTGGCCTTCCCCTTTCTCCTGAATCTTCCTATGCTTCTCTCTAGATATCCTAAATATACAACCCCACCCCCAACTCAAAGGGGTATAAATAAGTGTCTGCTTCCACCTTGGGCTACACTTTGCAGGCTGCAGAGAAGATCGCAAGATGAAAACTCTGCTGCTGACCTTGGTGGTGGTGACAATCGTGTGCCTGGACTTAGGTAAGGCCACCAAACTTTGATCTTGGGTGGCAATCAAACCCAAAATAAAGGGGCAGAGTAAGGGGGTGGTATTCGAGGAAGTTGTGGGTCCTTTTTTTTGGTGGGACATTCTCACTGTTCTGGTCTGCACAAGGAGGAAGCCTTTGGGGGAGAAGAGGAGGCTGAGACAGGGGCTGTTCCAGGCTGGCATTCTGGGGTAGACTGCCTCTGAAAGTAGAGGTTCCTTTGCGTAGTGAGCTCTGCCGTGGGATTACTCCAGGGAAGGAATGCGATGAAAAAGGTTTCCGCTCACCTGTCTCTGGCTTTGCCATCCTTCAGTATTTTGGATGGTACAGCCAAAGGGGACCAGAGATGCCTCCTTCAAGTCAAGCCTGGACATTCCTCAACATCAACCTGACATTCTTTTCTGCTGCTGAGATTTCTGAGACTCCTCAAACTTTCATACAACATTGGGGGGTCTCCCATCCTAACATTAACCAATGCCAACCCTGCTTAGCTTCCACAGAGAGACCAGCTACTTAGGTTTCAATTTGCTTTTATTTCATGGCCTGTTTCACAAGAGGTTAGGGTTGTTCTTTTTTACCCTAGCTTTTATCCTAGCTATTGTGGCACAGTGGTTAAAATACAATATTTCATGCTAATTCTGCTTACTGCCAGCAGCCTGCAGTTTGGTAGTATGATCCTCACCCACTTAAGGTTGACTCAGTTTTCCATCCTTCTGAGGTTGGTAAAATGAGGACCCAGATTTTTGGAGACTATAGGCTGACTCCATAAACTGCCTAGAGAGGGCTGCAAAGGATTGTGAAGCAGTATAAATGTCTAAGTGCTAAAGCTCTGTAGTTTTGTAATGACCCAAAGGAGCGAAGAAACCTAGTATGCCTTCCTCCCATTTTCCCCACAGCAACAACCCTGTGAGGTAGGATGGGCAGAGAGTGGGTGAATGCTCCAAAATCACTTAGATATCTTTTATGCTTAAAGTGGGACTGGAACTCACAGTCTTCTGTTGATTGGCCCAGAGTCACACACTGTTTTTCATGGCCAAAGTGGGACTAGAACTCACTGTCTCCTGGTGGTTGCCCATAGTCACCCAGGTGGCTTCCATGCCTAAGGTGGGACGGGAACTCAGGTTTCCTATTTCTAGACCATTTGATCTTTCTAGGGAAATTTTCTCAGGTGATCTTGTATGAAAAGATCTATCATCTAATATGTAATAAGATTACAAGATCAGAAAAATAAAAATCAAGGTAATATTTCTATATATTATATCTTTCATCCAGGATACACCATGACATGTTACAACCAACAGTCATCGGAAGCTAAAACCACTACAACTTGTTCAGGTGGAGTGAGCTCTTGCTATAAAAAGACTTGGAATGATGGCCATGGTAAGCACATTTCTTATCTTCACTCACAGCTATTTTTCTTCTTGATCCCAGACTAGAGCTCCCAAATGCACTTGAGAACTGGAGGTCACCTAGGACCCGTCTGTGCCCTGCCTGGGTTCCCCTCAGGTCACATCCTGTTGCCGGACGCCCTAAGCAATGCAAGGAAAGGGGGGTCTTGGACTGGGGTGAACCATCTTTCTCAGCAACAGCCCAGACGGGAGGGGGAAACCTTCTTTAGAGAAAGGGGGAGGGAAATGCTGGGAGAGCTGCGGGTTTGTTCAGGAATTGAGGGAAACTGGACGAAGCCATGAAACATCCAAGGAAGGTGCCATTGCCCCTCAGTCATGTCGAAACAGGAGACTCCCCCAGAAATCTCTTCTTCATTCATTTACTCCCGAGTTTTGAGTAGGGGAGGAAGGAGGTCTGCCTTCCTCATGGGACGGGATGCATGAATGTGTTCAGTGTGGGTTTACCAGTTTGTTCAGCAACAGCCACAGGTCTGTTCTTTGCTATTTTTTAAGTAATCATTCTGCTTTGTGCTTCCTTCACAGGAACTAGAATTGAAAGGGGATGTGGTTGCCCTAGCGTGAAGCGAGGTATTGAACGTATATGTTGCGAAACAGACAAATGCAACCATTAGCTCTACGAGTGGCTAAATTCCTTGAGTTTTGCTCTCATCCATCAAGGACCATCCTTGAAAATTTATGCTTCTGGCCTTTACCACCAGATGGTCCATCATCCCCCTCTCCCTTGCTATCTTTGACACCTCAACATCTTTCCCTTTTCTCTCGTTCTGTAAGTTTCCTTCTGCTAGTTCTGTAGTTTGAGAATCAAATAAACCTCAGCATTCAATTCAAGTGTTTTGATTTTTTAATTTCCCCCCCTCAAAACATCCCTTTCATGAAACCCACAGGTAGAGAGTCTTTCTCCAGGTTTCAGCAGGCAGTGATGCTGGGATGAGCAGGATTAGGTCCAATCGCTGTTGAATCATGGCTTGGATTGCCTAACGGGTAATAATCTACCATTCAGAGAGGGTAAAGAAAGAGGAGAAACCCACAACTGAGTCTTTCCTCAGTAAAACCTCAAACTTCAAAGCCTCCCTTTCTTCTCTCTGGGCAAAGCTGAGGGGAAGAGTGTTGTAGAGCGGCGGTAGAGACTGAGACAGACACAGGCTTGACTTTTTACAGGCTTTATTCAAGCGAATAAAGGGTTGCTGCGGCTGCTGAGGCTAACTGGCAGTCAGCTGGCGGCAACAGCTGATGCCGTTTGACAGCTCCTTTTATAGCCGGCTGTCAAACGGCATCAGCCAATGGGAGCGGTTGGCGCTCCCGCACAGGGGGCGGACCGGAGTGAGGACCGCCGTCAGTCTTTGAACACAGCACTCCTTTCCCCTGGCCAGGAGCATGCGTAGTCCTGCAGCCGGGTAGGCCATCTTCGCTCGCGGCCGGATTGCCATAGTCCTAGGGACTCGCTTGCTTGCAAGGAGTCCCTCACTTCCAGGGCGTCACTTGAAGCTCGTCGTTGGCCCTCTGAAGTCCTCTCCTGAGTGTCCAGCTGCTGTCCATGTAGGTCCCTCCGATAGGCTCACTGTGGGAATGGCTTGGGGTTCGGCAGGTAGACTGGGTCGTCTGGAGGGGAACTGTTCGCTGCCGCTGGGTAGACTGGTTCGCTCGGCGGGTAGGCTTCACCATGCGGCTGGTAGACCAGGACCTCTGGCAGGTAGGCTTCAGGCGGCTGGTAGATCAGTGCGTCTGGCGGTCCCTGGGAGTCAACGGCAGCTCTTTTCTGATGCCTCCTTAACTGGTCGATGTGCCGGCACCATACTCGACCATCTTTGAAGAGGATCCTATAGGACTTGGGTCCTGTAACTGAAACTATTTGCCCTGGCATGCATAGTGGTTGCCCTGCATAGTTCCTGGCATAAACCAGGTCTTGCAGGGTGAATTCCCTGGCATGGCTGTCAGAGTCTAGAGGGGTGCCAGGGGCATAATGGGAGTGCAACCTGTCCAGGGTGGTCCTAAGGCATCTGCCCATCAATAGTTCTGCAGGGGACTTGTTGGTGGTGGTGCATGGAGTAGAATGCTGGGTGAGCAAGTAAGTGGACAGTTTGGAGTGCCAATCTGCCTGGCCGAACCTGGCCAAGGCTTCTTTTACAGACCTAACAGCCCTCTCAGCCATCCTATTGCTTGCAGGGTGAAAAGGGGCTGTGAGGGCATGCCTGATGCCCAGATTGGCTGCAAAAACCCCAAACTCACAAGAGGTGAACTGGGGGCCATTATCAGGTATCAAGGTGTCAGGGAGGCCATGCGTGACGAACAGTCTAGTCAGGGCTCTCGTGACAGCCAACGTAGTTGTGGAGGGAAGCAAGGCCACATCAATCCATTTAGAAAACGAGTCTACTATGACTAAAAAGGTCTGCCCATGCACTGGGCCAGCCAGGTCAATATGCAGCCGGGACCAAGGGACCCTAGCATCCTCCCATCGAGTTCAGGCAGCTGCTGGTGGTGCCGATCTAGTAGCCTGGCAGGGCTGGCACGTGCTTACCCAGCTGGAGATTCGGGCATCCAAGCCTGGCCACCATATGTAGCTGTGGGCCAGAGCCTTCATCCTTACGATGCCAGGGTGGCCTTCCTGTAGGGCTTTTAAAATTGTCTCTTGTAGTGTAGTGGGGATGACCACTCTTGTCCCCCATAATAAGGAGCCCTGTAGTGAAGATAACTCTTGCCTGCGGGTCTTGAATGGCATGAAATCAGGGGTGTACTGAATTTCAGGCCACCCCCTCCAGGACCTGAGAGATTACCTTGTCCCTTCTGGAGTGGGCAGCAATATCCTCAGCTGAGATGGGCAGGTTGAGTTCGTTGCAATCAAAAATGGTGTGGATGGGCGCGGGGTCTTCTACTGGTATCTGCTAAGGGCATCTGCATGGCACAGGTTCTTTCCCAGGTGATGTACCAGCTTATATGAGTAGGCAACAGGGTCCACCTGGTCGTCCGCAGGGATAGTACCTGTGGGGTTTGCTTGTCTCCTGCTAAAAGGCCTAAAAGTGGTTTGTGATCTGTTATAAGCTCAAAGTAATGACCATAAAGGAATTCATGGAATTTTTTGACAGCAACAACTGCTGCTAAGTCTTCCTTATCAATTTGACTATAGTTCCTTTCTGCTGCAGAGAGTGTTCTTAAGAAGAATGCAATTGGGGCTTCAGAGCCATTTGGTAGCCTATGGCTGAGTACTGCCCCCACACCAAAGGGGGAAGTGTCCGCAGCTAAAATCAGGGGAAGCTGTAGGTTAAATTGAATTAGTACTGCATTTGAAGTTAGCAGAGATTTGACTGCTTGGAAAGCATTGGCTTCTCTTTGTCCCCAGTGCCAGGGAGCTTTCTTATCTAAAAGTCTATGTAAAGGTTCAGCTATAGAAGCCTTGTGCAGAAGGAAAGCTGCGTAGAAATTCAGGAGACCTAAAAAGGCTTGTAGTTCCATTTTGTTGGAGGGTGTGGGTGCCTTATGGATGGCCCTGACTTTTGATTCTATAGGATGTATTCCAGAGGCTTTAGGTATTCCACAGGAGCTTTAGAAACTAGCTTGACCCCTTCCTCTCTGTGGAAGCCCCTCAGATATTGGAAAACTGCTATCATGTCTCCCCTGGTCCTTCTCTTCACTAGCCATGCCCAGTTCCTGTAACCATTCTTCTTCTATTATTATTATTATTATTATTATTATTATTATTATTATTATTATTATTATTATTATTATTATTATTGAAGCTTGGTGGCACAGTGGTTAGAGTGTAGTACTGCAAGCTACTTCTGCTGCAGCCAGCTGCCTGCAATCTGGCATTTCGACTCTCATCAGGCTCAAGGTTGACTCAGTCTTCCATCCTTTCAGACGGATAAAACGAGGACCCAAATTACTGGGGGGCCAGAGGCTGACTCTGTAAACCACTTAGAGAGGGCTGTAAAAGCACTATAAAGTGGAATATAAGTCTATGTGCTATTGTTATTGCTATTAGCTCATATGCTTCCTTGGGATTTGCAGCATAGGTCTATAACACAACATCTCAGTTTGCTTTCCTTTAAACAAAAACCTCTTTTTGTTGAAGTGTTTTTAGCAAAAGGGTTATTAGCTCAATCAGTCAACCCAAACCATCCAAATATGCATAGGAAGAGGACAAGGGGAGAATCAGTGAAGTGGGGGATATAATGGAATTTTAGTTGGTGCACAGATCATACAATTCTTTGTGTCTCATCCTCATTTTGAGAACAACAGTATCTTTCAAAGATTGCTGCCTAAGGTGTGCAAACTTTGCCTTGAGTCAAGGATTGAAGTTACGCTTTTAAGATCTATTAACCTATGTAATAGAGAAACTCTTCAAATGAAATTAAAGTTTGTGAGAAGTTGGAATTGATTGAGTGGATTTTTTACCCCCCTCCTCAACAAACTATTGCTTCTCTGCACATGAAGGGCGAGAAATGCAAAGGAGATGGAAATCTGGTAGGCAAAGAAATCCTAGGGGAATTTGTTCTCCTAGCCAGCACAGCCACGGGGAGAGCGTTCTCCCACCCAGCACGTCCACGCAGATTTGCTGTGCTGCGTGGGATGCAGCTGCTGTGGCAAAACAAGCCAGGCAAGCTGGAGGCCAGAGACAGAGGGGTTAGTGTGACTTGCAGGCTGAATTAGCCAGGCAGGCAGATCAGGGGCGCTCAGCTGGGCCACAGGCACCGAGTCAGAAGGCAGGCAAACACAGAGCAAAGACTGTTTGGTTAACGCGAGGAGCCACACAGTGTGCTATGCCGGGAAGGTGAGGAGTGACTGTGTAGGGTGGGGCGAGGAGGCGGGGTGTGTTGGGCCGGTGGCTGGGCAGGCAGGGGTGGGCCCAGGGAAAGTGGTATTTGCTGGTTCTCCAAGTACTCAAAATATCCGTAACCGTTTCACCAAACCGCTTTGACCTTGCCAAATACAATCTCTGGACACGGACGAAAGAATAGAAGGGGAACTTATCAAATTTGCAGGTGACGCTAAGCTGGCAGGAATAGCCAGCACTCCCGAAGATAGGCTCAAGATCCAGATGAATTTGAAAAGCTTTGAACTCCGGGACCTTCCTAACAAAATGAAAGTCAATGGTGAAAAAAAGGTAAGGTTTTAGAATCAGGCGAGAAAAATCAAATGTACAGATACAGATTAGGTGAAATCAGGCTCAGTTGAAGTAACTGGGTGAAGGATCTTGGAGTCCTAGTAGACAGTTACCTAAACCTGAGCCAGCCATGCGAAAAAAAAACCCAACACAATCTTAGACTGCATTAACAGAGGGATAGAATCAAAATCATGTGAGGTATTATTAAGGATTTATAAAGCATTAATAAGACCTTGCTTAGAATATCGCATCCAGTTTTTATATTTGCCACAATTCAAAAAAAAAGATGTTGAGACTCTGGAAGGAAGAGCAACAAGAATGATCAGGGGACTGGAGGCTAAAACATCTGAAGAATGATTGCTGGAACTGGATATGTCTAATTTACTGAAAAGAAGGACTAGGGGGGACATGATAGCAGTCTTCCAATATTTGAGGGGTTCCAACAAAGAACACAGGGTTAACCTATTATGCAAAGCACCAGAAAGTAGGACAAGAAACAATGGATGGAAACTAATTAATAATTCTTCATATGTTTTAGTCTCCAGTCCCCTCATCATCCTGGTTGCTCTTCTCTGTACTTTTTCTAGAGTCTCAACATCTTTTTTATAATGTGGTGACCAAAACTGGATGCAGGACTCTAGGTGTGGTCTCACTAAGGCTTTAAAGAGTGATATTAGTACTTCATTTGATCTTGATTGTATCCCTCCATTATTTATTTATTTATTTATTTGTCAATTGCTTACAAGATAATAGGTATAAGTAAAAACATAGTTATGAATACATGGATATATATAAGAAAAATAAAAAAAACATGTAAAAGAAACAATAGTACAGGGATGGTAGGCACATTGGTGCACTTATGCATGTTAATGTTAATGCAATTTAGGATTGCATTAGCTTTTTTGGCGGCTGCTGCACACTGCTGGCTCATATTTAGCTATAGACGCAATTTTCATAGACTTCTGCAAAGCCTTTGACTCAGTGGTACATGACAAACTACTATTAAAATTAAATTCTTACGGCATTTCTGGAGCCCTTCACAAGTGGATTACTGCCTTCCTGTTAAACAGGCAACAAATTGTAAAAATAGTAAATGCCCTATCAAACCCTGAACCAGTTATCAGCAGTGTTCTCCAAGAGAGTGTTCTAGGACCCACTCTCTTTACATTCTACATAAATGATCTTTGTGATCACCTTATTAGCAACTGGGTCCTCTTTGCTGATGATGTCAAACTATTCAACACCACAGCCAATGCTACCGTCCTTCAAAACGAGCTGGATTATGTGTCTCAATGGTCTAACAATTGGCAACTCCAAATCTCTACCAACAAATGCTCTGTCCCACACATTAGTAAAAAATAATCCATATGCCAAATACAAGCTAGGCGGATATGACCTTGTTGATGACCCTCACTTTGTCAAGGACCTTGGCGTTCTCATACCAATCTACATGGACAGATTACCTATCTAGAATCTCTAATCTGTGCTCTCCAAGCAGAAAGTAGGTGCCCAATCCAGCCATCTATTGAACTGCCATGCTACCAGCCCCCACTACTACAAAGATCCTACAGGAAAAGGGCAGTATGGACAACCGTGGGATCTGGCAGGGTGAGAGCTATGGACCATAAATGCAAAGCTTTTGCTGTGTCCCAGCATAACAGATACAGTGCCCTTGCTGACCTTAATAGGGACACTAAAGTGACAGGTCAAGGTAGTTGTGATAATGATAACTCAAGTAAGCCAGGGATCGTGGTCCTAGAAGAAGAACTTACTTTGGAAAGGAGAAAATGTGAATCAGGTATTACGCACCAGTCACACAAGAAGAGCAAGACATTCAAAAAGGGAAACCACTTTCTGGCTGGGGACTCATTTGTAAGAGAAGTAAATTTAGGAAAGGATACTGAGGTTTTGAAAGAGGTCAGGTGTCTACCAGGTGCTACTGCCAGCAGAGACAAGAAGCGTATTCTTAAGATAATCAATAATGCCAGCAAGGACTGTGATGTTGATGCTATTATACATCTTGGTACAAATGATCTATCCCAGAAGGATGTACTTTCTGTTCAGAAAGACTTCCAGAGCTTGGGGTATGAACTTAGTAATATGGACTGTAGGCTTATCTTTTCAGAGGTTCTACCAGTATACAAGGAACAAAAAGGGAAAGGGCAGCATGTAGCAGAGTTTAATGTGTGGCTAAAGGAGTGGTGTAAAAGGGAAGGCTTTGGTTTTATTAGTCATGATGTCTGCAGCTAGTCCAATGAAAACCTGTACAAAAGAGATGGTTTGCATCCATCAAAGAAAGCGACTGAGTTACTTGGCATTAAATTCACAGATTTCCTGGATAAACATTTAAACTGAACAGCAGGGACAGAGAATTAATGGATTCAGAACATTTCTATTCCCAGCAACCTAAAACTGATAAGGATACCAGTGCATGCAAAATAGATGTTTGTTCAGGTAAGATTATCAACCTTGATGCCAACCAAAACCGAGCACTTAATAGTGAGTGCCATACCATGTGAACTAATCAAACAGATGGCAAGAAAGTAGGGGCAGACAGGCACAACACAGATTATGTAGACAGAAAACACAGTGTCAGACATAAAGATCTCAAATGCCTGTATACAAATGCACAAAGTCTGGGTGAACTCGAACTACGAATACATGACGGTAAATATGATATAATTGGAATAACAGAAACTTGGTGGGATGAAACCCATGACTGGAATATACTGGTAGAAGGATACAAACTATTCAAAAAGAACAGACCCCATAAAAGAGGAGGTGGAGTTGCACTGCATGTAAAAGACCACTATATTGCTACAGAAATGCATGAAGCCAAAGATGAAAACCTCCTAGAATGCATATGGGTCAATATAAAAGAAAAAAAGAATGACATGGCCATAGGCGTATATTATAGGCCACCCAATCAAGCAGAAAATATCAAGCAGATGTCCTTTTTGCCAGCCAACTAACAAATATAAGCAGGAAACACACAACAATAGTAATGGGAGACTTCAATTATCTTGATATCAGTTGGAAAACTAATTCTGCACCAAGTGAGAAATCAAATAAGTTCCTAACCAACCTAGCTGACAACTTTGTTGTTCAACAGGTAGAGGGTGAAACTAGAGGGACAGCCATACTGGATTTAATTCTTACAAACAGAAGAAGTGATAGAGGGAGCTGAAACTGCAGGAACCTTGGGTGAGAGTGACCATGTCATACTAGAATTCAACATAACACAAACACAAGCAACAGATCATAATGACATTAAAGTCTTGGATTTTAAAAGAGCTGATTTCAATAAACTCAGAGAGACCGTGGGAAAGATTCCATGGATGAAAATCCTAAAGGGGAAAACAATTCAAGAATCTTGGGAAATTGATCATAGAAGCCCAGACCAGCACAATACCACTGAGAAAGAAAAACAAGAAATCCAAGAAGAAACCAGCATGGCTACACAAAGATCTCTCTGGAAAATTGAAAGAAAAAAAGGACAAGTACAAAAAATGGAAAGAAGGACATACAATTAAGGCAGAATATCAGCAGATCGCCAGAATCTGCAAAGACGAAGTCAGGATAGCAAAGGCTCAGAACAAACAAAGACTTGCAACAAAAGTCAAAGATAATAAAAGAAGTTTCTTCCAACATATAAATAATAAGAAAAAAAATCAAGGAAACAGTCAGTCCACTAAAGAGAGAAGATGGCAAGGAAGTAACAAGAACAGAGAGAAAGCAGAACTGCTTAAACTCATTCTTTGCATCCATCTTCACGCAAAAAGAAACTGTAGCTCAACTCACCAAAAACATAACTGTAAAAGACAGATCAGAAATAAAAATTAAAATAAGCAAAAAATAGTAAGAGAACACCTGTCTGGTCTTGATGAAAACAAATCACCGGGGCCTAATGGATTACATCCCAAAGTAAGCAGTGGGGTGCCACAAGATTCCGTCTTAGGCCCAGTACTTTTCAATATCTTCATTAATGACTTAGATAAGGGAATAGAAGGGGAAGTTACCAAATTTGCAGATGATACTAAGTTGGCAGGAATAGCTAACACCCAAGAAGATAGGCTCAAGATCCAGATGGATCTTGACAGACTAGAACACTGGGCTGTATCTAACAAAATGAAATTCAATGTAGAGAA